AAAAAGAATACACAAGCTGCCAGGTGATTTAGCTCATTGGTTCTGCCACCTGCCTCAAAAGTGCAAGGACCGGAGTTCGATCCCCGGTACCAAAAAAGAAAAAAAAAAAGAAAAGAAATCCAAAAGAAGTTTAAGGATTAGACACACAGATGAACAGCTTTCTACACTGAGATGTACTGGTTGAAGGTGTGGCAGCAGAACAGAGTATGTTGGGACAAAGAGTAATACAGAGGAGTCCTAAACCAAAGGAACTCCAACAATTAGCCCAGAATGTCAATAAGACAGAAAGAGAGGAGAAAATATAGACATATGAAATAATGGCTTCCTTCAAGAAGCTTTCAATCTCATTAGTAGCAAAAGGCATACACACATTAAACATTTCTTTTTTCATTATGACTTCAGGACTAATACAGGTAACTTTGAAAGCAGAGCGGGTAAACATCAGAATGGTAAGAAGAGAAAGAGAAAAGCTACAGTGGTAACAAGGCAAAAAAAACCACTGGCTTAGAGGAGACAGCTAATTCAAGATGAGGGAAATGAAGGGAAAGAAGAAAACAACTGCAGTATTTACTGAATATGTACTGAAGCCAGTAACTGTCCTAGGATATTTCAAATATTCTACCTTATTTAATTCTCACAGTATTTCTAATCGTATGAGATAAACAGTATTTCCCTTTACATGTGTAAACTGAGGCACACAAAATTTAAATAATTTGCCCAAAGTCCTGTATCTAATCTACCTATATATGCCAGTTTTAGGACTGGAACCCAGGTAAGAACAAAAGCCCTTGACTTGTCCACCAGATTTCCACTTACTAAACTAGCAAAAGCAAGACATTTCAAAAGGAGAAGGAAATAAGAACAAAAAAATATTAACTAGGGTGGAAGAAAACTGTAATGATTATCATTTATCTCACTATAATAAAGCTATCACTTTTAGCAAGTCTGGAAGGAAAAACCAAATAATGAATTCTTTAACACTAAAAATAATCTTTCAATCTTAGAGAATAGATAAAATTAGATGACCTGGCTTCCATAGAATTCTAGATTGCAAACCTGACAGTGCTGCTCCTCCTCTGTCTATAATCTTTTAATCTTAGAAATAATTCTCTACCACCAACAAGATTTAAAAAGGGAGGAGACAAGTGAAAAATTTATCTAACAAGGCTATATTCCTCAAATTAGAAGGGATAATAAGAGATTTTTTAAAATCAACGTCTAAAAACAAATGCTTATTTATTGTACTTTATCACCTGCTTGATACTCCACTGAAGCCTCCTGCTTTTCTCTCCCCCAAATTGTACAGTAAATGAAATTTCAAATGCCATTTAAAGAACAACATTGACACCTTGTGGTGAGCATCCTAAAGTATCAAATAATAACAATGAATAAAATGGCTCTTAATTAAGTGTCTGTTTACCTAAAAACAAATCTTTAATCCAAGATTTTTGGTTAAGAACCAACTACCATCACACACACTAAATGCTAACTTTGAAAGTGCTACTAATCCTTTGGCAACGATGAAATGAGACTAAACTCTTAACTATGGGTCCAAAGACGTTGGAGGGAGGGGAGGGAAAGGGTATGAAAAGAGGAATCAAGATGGGTTATATAGATGTATCAACTTCCTACAAGGAATGTAAACATTATATACTACATACATGTATTAAAATAAAAATAAACATTTATAGAACTTTTAAAAAATTAAAGAGAAAAATGAAGTCTCATGTAATTGTTTCCCTATAAAACAGCACAACACATCCACATGAAGGAGTTTAATGTCCTGGTTTTAAGTGCTCCAGAGTTTTGCTTCATCAAGATTTCCTATTTTTCTGTAACATACATAAAAAATAGAGGGAATATAGTGGTACAAAGTTATTAACTAGAAAATACTCTCAAAAAAACAAAATCAGGAGACCTGGGCTCGCAGCATGACTCTATCCAGCATGGAGAATTTTAGAGTTAAGTCATTTTAAAGAATTTGTTACAGTTGAATGGGCCAATAATTGTCCAGGTTCTTGTGTACCATGACAAAAGAACTGACAAGCCTACACTCAGTAGTAAGCAGCTACATTTATTGAAGATCACAGGAAGTTGTGCTCAGGGCCAGTTCATGCCAGCAAAGGTATACAAAAGTTCAAGAAAGGCACTGGAGAGACAGAAAAGGACTGCACACAGGTCAAAGGTAGCAGCAGTAATAGGAAAAAGGGGCTGATAACTCAGGCTTTCAGAATCTAAAGGCCAGACACTTCTGCTCTAGGTGCCTCCCACTATCTCTCAGGGCGCCAGAGCCTCTGTGCCTGTACTCTCGCCTAGGGCCTGGAGATCTCCTAAGCTTCAGTTATTTTATTTTCTACCTCTCTTGTAGCGATGGAAGCAGGAATAACGGTTGGGTGCTGTTTAGAATTAGATGGAGGCTACCTCACAAGTGCAAGGACCCGAGTTCGATCCCCAATACCAAAAAAACAGAAAATAGAATTAGATAGAGGGAAGGGAGTTGACTCACTCAGCTCCTTTGTTTCTAACTGTACTAAATTCAGACTCTCTGTTCTCACATACAATTACAGATTAAGTGGTAGCATTTCTATAAACCAACAAAGTATCAGAAAATGAAAATGTATATACTTTTTCTTTTACTTTTTACTTTTTATTGATACATGTTTACAGTACATAGTAATCACATTCCTTGTGGCGAGTTGGTACATGTACCTAAAACATCTCAATTCTTTTTTACCCCCTCCCCTAGAAAAATGTATATGTTTTAAATGGCTACAACCAGGAATAATACTGCCTGAGTAGAAAGGAAATGATGAACAACAGTTTAATGTCACAGGCATACAAGTTTTCCAGCAACCACTTCACATCTATCATGGCAAAAACTATGGGAAAAGAGGAGCATGTGATTGGTATTACCTTCTGATATCTGAGGGAATTAACACAGAAAGGCCCATTTTACTTACTAACTTTCAAAAGTAAAACTTCAAAGTTTCTAGTTCCAGAGTAACCACCTGGGCTAGAGTAATTTGGTTAATAAGCAGACACTTGATCTGGTTCAGAAAGTGCATCTGTGTTAGTAGCGGTAGCTGCAAATGAATTAATTACACAGTGGTGGTAAGGAAACCACTATTAGCAAAGTAATCTGAATTACTAACATATCTGAGGAATCTAGAAAATACCTTAAAAGTGAAACCCCCAAAAACCAAATCATTGCAAGACCATCAATACTAAATAATTCAGTAACTACCAAATCCTGATGAGTTTGCATTTATGGAGGACACTGCTTTTCAGAAAATTTACTCAGTTTTTATGCTATGTGCACTTTATAACCACCAAAGAAGATGATACTATGAAAAGGATCTACAAAATGTGCTTATTAGAAAACCTTTGCAACAGTCTCAAGTCTGGTTCTTGCTGTTCACCTTCAGTCAGATCAGCCATTTCACACTTCTTGAACTCAATTTCTATGTTTAAAACAGCAGCTATAATCCCTGATGTGAGAATATAAGAGTCTGAGAGACTAAAACAACTGTGAAAATGCTTACACAAGTTTGTAACATCACCACTTCCATCTTTTAGGAAAAATCAGACAAGTTCAATGAAATCAGGGATGATTAAATGCAGGGTCAAGATCAAATTAATCACAGCATTCCCTTTTATAGCATGGTGCTTCACAAGATCCAACAGTCCTTCTTCTTCTGTTCTGTATATCCCAAGCTGACCAGGCTCAAAATATGTACATATATTGACAACTCCTGCTTTCTATCTCTGCCCTCTAGTTACTAGAGTCTATCCATTCTGTTATATATCCTAAGCAATCAAGGTGAAGGTACTTTTCAGATATGATTCAAAAGTTATCAGATGAGCTGGTTGAAGTGACATATGCCTGTAATTCCAGCACTTTAGGAGGCTGAGGCAAGAGAATCATAAATTCAAGCTGAGGCTGGGCAACTTAGCAACTTAGTAAGATCTTTTCTCAAATTTTAAAAGTCGGGGGGGGGCGGAGCTGCAACAGGGAGTGAACTGGGGATGTAGCTCAGTGTAAAAGCCTGCTTGGGTTCAATGCCTAGTGCCTCATAAAAAAAAAAAGTCACCAAAATATATGTGGTTACTTCAGTCAAAATCATTATCCCTTAAGAGTAATTTACACAATCCATATGTTCAAACTCTGTATCATCATGTATACTAAAAATCAAGTTTCACAAAGGCCAATTTTATAATGTTCATACAATAATCAATTCTTCAATTATCCTTTTGGACTCATCCTCCAGTGGACATATAGCAGATATCTAATGGTCTGAAATTTATGATGTGTTACATAAAGATTAGAAAAATACTGCCAGAAACAAATTTCAGTGAGCAATCTGTCTGAGGAGGGTGAACAAAGGTTGAATGTCATTACTGACTTTATTTTGAAATGCACTTATTTTGGTAATTTGCCCCCTGGGAAAATGCCCTTCATGACCTACCACATTTAAAATTAAAGCCAAATTTTAATATCTTTCAAAATTAAGCCCAAACATAAAAATATAGAGATGAGGCCTATAAACCTCAGAGCATTAGATTCATACAGAGCTCCTCTGGCTTGCCAAACATCCTTTAAGATAAATAGCAGGTCAAAACTCTAAGCTCTGTTAAGGGTTGCTGGAAGGCTCTTGGGTGATGCCATGGTTGTTAAGATTTTGATAAGTCTAAATTTTATACCTCTGGTTGCTGTGCTTTAGAGTACTGAAGACCAACAAATAGCTTATGTCCCTGTTTTAAGATCACTGGCTTCCAACTGCTCTCTCCACTCTCCAGAGAAAAGAAATGGTTTTCCAAAAACTTCATGAAAGAGATAAATTTAAATTATTGTAGCTACAAAATTTATGAAGCTTTCACTTAAAAATGCTAAACCCAAGTAACAGAATCTAAAGCTCCTATACACATTCTTTCAAATTGAAACATCAGAAATTCAAAATGAGAAAGATTCTTTAGAATTCAGAAGACTCTAAATTTCTTACCGTAGCAAAGAGAAGACGTCATAAGAATTACGAACACAGTTCTGATCCACCTGAAGAATATTCTTCTGAGCATTTGAATAACCCTGAAAGACATTAATAAAGTAATCAAAATAAAACAAAATTAAAAATCTGTGCAGAAATTAATCCTGTTCGCCTTTTGAGCACTATGACATATAAACACCTGGGTAAATTTAAAATTTCAGAGATTCCAAGAAGTTAAATATAATTTCCATATAACTCAGGTCTAACCTTTCAGGCAAGTGAATTTAAAATAAATTCTCAGTTTCCCACAGAGACAAAGTTTCACCTTATAATTTGTGGTGAACTTCCTAGGGGTGCTTCAAAACTTCTTCAACATATTATGTGATTGAAGAAAAGTACTAACAGTAATACTTCAACTGTATCTAGCCATCAAATGCAATTATAGGGAAAAATTTCAAGTGCTAATCAGGAATATAAGAAACAAATACTCCCTCTCAAAGGTACAAAGAAGCAAGGATGATTTCTAAAGAGACCACCCCATAATTCCATAAGAACAGGAGCAGTATCTCTGTCATTTAAGAGAGGCAGCACAAACAGTAGTTAAGAAAATAAGAGTCTGGATCCAGACTACCAGGATTTAAGTCTTTCATACAACAGCTCCATGATCAAGGCACCTATATTCCTTTAGCTTAACACTGGTATCTTTATTTATAATATTAGTATCCACCTCACAAATACTGTAAAAAGTAAAAAAAAAAGTTAGAATTTCTAAAATGAAAGATAGGTAATCAATGCTACATAAGTATTCTCTATAATGCTAATGCAGACTGTGGGTACAGCACAGAAGATTGAACCCAAGGCCTCCCAGCATGCACCTGACCACTGACTTATATCCCTGGCCCTGGTTTTTAAGACAAGATCTCACTAAGTTGTCTACTTCCTGCCTCAGCCTCCCAAGTAACTAGGATTACAGGTGTGCACTGCCATATGCAGCTAGCACAGGCATTAAAAAAAAAAAAATATGTTGCTATAGATCTTAAAATATTATGCCATTGTTCTGAACAATTTTATTCTCATAATTTGATAACTCAGACAAATTATTTAAGAAATAAATTACCACGCCCTGCTGAGGTCAAGAGTCTACCGGAACTCGCCGAATCAGCACTATGCAGACAGGCAGGTCTGCGCATGCCCTACCGAGGTTGCGAGTTGCGTGGAACATGCCAATCAACCCGTGCCCAGGCAACAATCCACTGGACACCGCCCGCCCCCAATCCCCGCTCCTCTGTACAGCCACCTGGTTCCACACTACAAAGATCCAGAGGAAACCAGGCCACCAGACAATGGTACTGAGTCACACCGCTCCCGGCCCAGAGGTAGGGGCTTCTGAGCCACCCTCCCACTGCTCCTGGTCCAGAGGAAGGGGCTTCCTGACCACCATCCCTCCCGCTGCTCCCAGCACAGAGGAAAGGGCTTTTGGGCCACCTTCTGTCCCGCCGCTCCTGGCACAGAGGAAGGGGCTTCCGGGCCACCATCCCTCCCACCGCTCCCAGCCCACAGGAAAGGGCTTTCGAGCCACCATCCCTACCACCGCTTCCGGCCCCTGTCCCACCTCTCCCAGCTCAGAGGAGGTAATCCGTGCAGGTGCTAACAGCCCCCTGCCCCAATAAAAATGAGAAAACACCTAAAAAAGTCTCAAAACCAGACTTCCAGATCACCTACAGCAACCCCAAAGGGAAATGAGATGGAACACTCTGATACTCGAACATCTGGACCCACTGAACTGGCAACAAAAGGGGATCTGGAAAAAATGAAATCAGAAATAATTTCTCTGATAACAGCAGAGATTGTGCTCCTAGTGCAAGACATGATTAATAAATCTAGACAGGATGAGGAACAGGATAGAATCCCAACATAGGAAACAAATGGAATCCATAAAACAGATGCAAATAGATTTCCAGGACATGAAAAACTCCATTGAA